GAGGATGTAATCAAACAGAGTTCTCATATTTAAATTCTTTTTTTAAAAGGTGGAATGAACCCAATAAATAATAACATTTTTTTAAAGTGCAACAGAGCGTACAAGAAGTTAAAAAAAGCTTTACTGTGGTTTCCTAAAAGATGGAAGTGTAAACAAGGGATGCTGTTGCTTTGCTGTAGCCCACTGGGGGTTTTGCATATAGGAGAAAATCCTCAAAATAAACCCAAAACCATACAGGAAGCCAACACAGAGCAGCAGAAAATAGACTAACGTTCTCTGTTTCTGGTTGTGGTTAATAGCTGAGCCGCAGAGTTTTAAATAAACTCAAATCTATAGTTGTTGTTGTTTTCGAGAGACCGAGAAAAAGAGCGTTGCAGTGATCTGTCTGCTCAAAGAAAGGCACTGGTCATTTTTAAACACTCTTTTTACTCAGAAGTGGTTATTAGTTTAATTGCTATACAAGTCAACCCCGAGACTCGGACTTAATTTCCGCATATTGTTAAACAGCAAGTCTCAGCTACTTTTGAGGCCAGCTGCTCGGGTTTCAGTGCTGTCCTCGTTTATCATGGAGCGGCACACGGACACGCAGTTTCATTTAAACAGTTATAACCTTCATAACCATTCTGCAATTAAATATGGAGAACTATCATGACAGAGGAGATGATGGAGGTCAGGAACTGAGACCTTATTTTAGCTGTTTGGGACATTGTCTAAAGCAGGGGAGTCAAACATAAGGCCCGGGGAACAGAAGTGGCCCAATAAAGACAATCCGGTCCACTTGATATCTTCGGAAAATGTGAAGGAGGACATAAATTTAGGACTTTTAACTGTATTTTCATACATTTCATAACTTGCCCTAGTTATAACAACCTCCCCAACAATAATTCATATTGTATGAACCAATGAAGTAATAGATAAAAAAATTAACGACAGAAAAATTCAATTTTTTTTCCCTCTGCTATAGAAATGTCTTTTTGCATATATAGTTTCCACTGTAAAATAAATAAAACAGGATATTTTCTGTGTATTCACAAAGACATTCTGGTCATTAAGTTCTTACAATTTAAGCCCAAAGAATTGTGCTGACAGATTTCTTTCATTACCTGCAGCTTTTCTTTATAATGCAGAGAAAAGCAAGAAGTGCTGTTTAAATTTCACTTCTTTTTCTTATATTAGGATATCCCAGGAATTAAATGTGCAAGTAAACTACTTCAGTAAAAGGTACCATAAGTTTCTCTGGTCCAGCCCACTTCAGATCAAACTACATGTGGCCTGAGATGTAAAATGACTTTGACAAACCTGGTTTAAAGCCCGAGTTAAAAACTTCCCAACAGGTGATGAGCTATAAGGAAAAGCTTCTTTCTTGAAGTACGTAGTGAGCTAAATCCAGGTTAAACCTGTTATCTTTTGTTCATTTTCTTTCAGTCTAGATGATTACAGAGCGGGAGATCTGAACGAGGAGAAGCTGAGAAAGAAAGAGTTTTGAGCTCTGGGACAACTAAGATGTGGAAAGTGCAAAAAATGGCTGCATACCATTTTTTGTGCCATACTGTTTGGAGCCAGGGGTTAAAGAGGAAATAAAGAAAACAAACAGACAAGACGGTGTGAGCGTGCTGTGGAACAGAGCACGCCAACATGTCGAATACCTCGACTTCATTTGCAGCTGCTTGTGCGGTTGCTCCTGTAGGCAGAGCTGACAAGAACTCTTTCAACATGTACATACACCTACTTCAGGTTTCATGCTGTGCTGATGCACACGCCCGTGTGTGTGTGTGTGCGTGTGTGTGTGTGTGTCGGGAGAACACACACTGACAAAACAATCCTATTCAACTTAATGCCTCCCATGAGGGGAAAGTATATGTGTATACGTTTTTTGTATATGCACGCGCACACACACACACACACACACACACACACACACACACACACACACACACACACACACACACACACACACACACAGAGCTTCCTGTAGGTAATTACAGTGTTAAGTGATGAGGGCCCTACAGTTCTCATTCTGACCTCCTCTGGAGGTGTGTGTCTGTGTGATCCTGTGTGTGTGTGTGTGTGTGTGTGTGTGTGTGTGTGTGTGTGTGTGTGTGTGTGTGTGTGTGTGTGTGTGTGTATCCGTCCCTGGGGTGCTAGTTAAGTATAGTAAGATAGATTTAACACCCAAGGCATCCAGCAGGAGTCAGACGGGGAGAGAGAAAGGCCTGTTTTTAGTCCACCCCCTCTCTGTGTGTCTCTCCTCTCTTCATCTCTCCGAATCCTCTCAGTCACCCCTCACCTTCCTAATCTTTATCTCTCTGTCTGCATCTATTACCTCGGCCCTATTCTCTATTTCCTTGCCCCGTTCGGCCTCCCGCTGCGTTTCCCTGCCTGTTTATCTCTTTTCACATTTCTCCAATTCTGCCTGTCCTTGCTTTCTTGCATTACATACATTGGTTTCATATAGTGGGCATTCAGGGAAACTAGTTTCTGCTGATAGCTGGGGTAAGACAGACAATTCATCTGCTCCTTCAGGGGTACTTTACTATTCTGTCTTAATGTCTCTTTAGGTTCTTCCTTTTTTTTTCTCTGGGCTTTGGCCTCTGTCGCCAGAAAGAGGCGGGATGTTTCTCCTGTATTGGCTTCCCTTCATTGGCTTCCTGTTAAATCCAGAATTGAATTCAAAATCCTGCTCCTCACATACAAGGTCTTAAAAAAAATCAGGCCCCATCTTATCTCAATGACCTTGTAGTACCATATCACCCTATTAGAGCACTTCGCTCTCACACTGCAGGCTTACTCATATGATTGTTGGGTTTTCCTCTGTGTGTATTATTGTAGGGTAGTCTAAGGAGCTTGGAAAGAAAAGCATCTGGACTTCTTTGAGTTGCTTGAAGACGTTTGACCTCTCATCCGAGAAGCTTCTTCAGTTCTAAGGTCAAATGGTGGAGAGTCCCAGATTTAAACCCAGTGGGAGTTTCCCCCCACAGAGGGACAAAAGGACCCCCTGATGATCCTCTACCTAATCACATGAGCCAAGGTGTGAAAGCGGGTGTGGGTCACAATCAGCCAGGGTTTCGGGTGAGCTCATTGTGAAACCTGGCCCCACCCTATCATGTGATTTCCTGAGGTCAGATGGCCCAGGATGTGAGTGGGTGTTAAGGCGTCTGGGAAGGGATCTCAAAACTGACTTTATAAACGCCAAATTAGGATAACCGCATGTTTTGAATGCTTCCTTTACATGTGTGTGTTCCTTCTTTTTCCCTTCAGGCTTAGAGGGAACATGTTCTGCCCGGTGGTGTAGGGTCCTTTTGTGTTTGTGTTCTAGAGGGTGATGGGAGTCAAAGAGGAGGTACTGGTCCGTGTGTTTGGGCTTCTGGTAAACTTCAATGTTGAGGTTGCCGTTCTCTTCAATGTGCACAGCGCAGTCCAGGAAAGGCAAACAGTTGTCCTTTGTGTCTTCCCTGGTGAACTTGATGTTTTTATCCACAGAGTTAATGTGCGCAGTGAAATATTCCACTTCATGTGTCTTGATTTTGACCCAGGTGTCGCCTACATATCTGTACCAGTGGCTGGGTACTCTTCCTTTGAAAGAGCCAAGAGCCTTCCTTTCCACTTCCTCCATGTAAAGGTTGGCTACAATAGGTGACACAGGGGAGCCCATGGACATATTTCAAATATGTCTCACCACTACATATTTCAAATACAACGAGGGTTTCTACAGACAAAAACATGGCTGTGCCATGGGCTTAAATCTTAATTATCTCAGAAGCTGTTCACATCCACAAATATTTATTACCCAATGAAAACACTGAGCAGGATGGGTTTTCCTTGTTAACAGAATCATAACAAGAGACTGGAATAGTCCCAGGTAACTGGAGCAGACATGGTCTTATATTTAGCAAGCCAGAGTACAAAAAACAACGTAAAACTAACGTGGAAGCAAAAAATTATGCTTCTTTGAATGAATGCACCTCAGAAACCTGTCATTTAAAACAAAAATTGCTTAAGGATTAAATGCACTTAATGAAATCTTCTGATCTTTAGAGAATCTGACATGTTTGTTTTCTTACTGACAGTTAAGGCCAATGTCATCCCATTCCTGTAATTATGGAAAATATTACCAACAGCTTGAAAATTTATTTCAATCAATTTAATTCATTTCGGTCGACCTCCTATGAGCAAGCACTCAGTGATGATGGGAAGAAAAAACTCCCTTTTTAACAGGAAGAAAACTGGCAGAACCAGGCTCAGGGAGGGGTGACCATGTTTACTAATGTCACATGTAACATCCCAGAGAAGGAAATGTCCCTATCAGATTTTAGCACTGACTGAAATGTTAAAGGTTTTTGCATTTCTGTTAACTAACAAACAATGAGTTGATGGGTATGTATGAGACGACAGAACTCGATTACCTCGCTCATTGTTGCACTCTGCTTCAATGCTGCTTCACTAACCTGACTTCATATTAAAATACATTTAAAATCCACAACCTTACTCTGGGTAAACTTGTTCTATTCAATAGAATCTATGTTTCCTCAGCATGTTTTGTAATCGAAAACATATTTTTGGGTGCCTCAAGGTTCCATCCTAAGCACCATCTAAGATGTCTGTGTCCTCCTTTGTGAAGCATTAATGTTACTTCAGAAATCTTGGTGTTACCAACAAAATCATCTGCATCGTAATGTGTTTTGTGACAGAAAGCTGGTTTCTGGTGGGTCAGCGCTCGGTCCGTGTCACCATCAAACATCCTATGTCCTCTTTCATATAACAAAAACTGTGTTGTTTTATAATGCAAGGTAATTATTTGTGTTACTTTTTAATAGTTTGATAGAAGGAAGCAGATTGTATAGATAACACATTTTTGCTTTGATAGTGAATGGACCAGCATGCACATGTGATCATTTGTCATTCTTAAAGACACTGGAGGCCAATATTTGTCGATTTCTTTTTTGCCTAACAAGTTTAACAGAAACCAGTAAATCAGGAGCGAAGAAAAGGGAAAGCTCTACCTTTCTTTTGCAGTATAGCGCTACCGCTGCGCCTCCCTATGTGGTTCTCCACGTAACAGGTATAGTTGGCCAAATCTCCGTCCTCCACGGCATCAAATGTTAGGGACAGCTGCACTTCCTTCTCTCCTAAATGCTCCCTCACCACCCTGGAAAAGAAACATGCGAGAAGTGGATTCACAAAGCAGTGATATTAAATATTTTATTGTGAATTACTGTAATACACTCAAGACTTTAACTTGGAATTTCTACTTATGCAAATTGCATCAGGAGGGAAGTAAACACATGTAAATTTTAAAGATGAGAGAATCTCCTTGCCTCTTAATCTGTTCCATTAAAGATGAAGAAGCACAAGGAACATGGCGCTATAGAGCACAGTATATAGGGCAGATTTTAAAAGAAAGAGAGAGCGAAAAGAAAAGAAAAGAAATGAGGGCAGAAGAAGCAAGGAGCCATGTCTGGAAAACACTGGCGACAGCTGGAAAAAGCTCTCTCCTTATGGTGAGGTCATACTCCTTTTAAGCCTGTGAGGCTGTGAGGAAGAGGGGCTGGAGGAGGAGACTGAACTGATGTCAGGGTCACAGAGTGCACCTTTAAACCTGGTGAGGTTCAGCCATAACCAGTGAGATCTTAGCTCAGGTGGCAGATTCAGAGCAGTGGCACAGATGGTTCAGCCACATAGGCTGGGTACATTTGAACATTTGTTTAATAAAAGCTAGTTTCATGTAATTGACACCGTTATGCATTTGTTGCATTTATTTATTCTATTCATTTCTGTTCACAGCTGTTGTATGTTATTGCAGGTATGCCTGTCTTTTAATTCCAAGACATTATGACGTTTACAGTCACAATTGCGGTAGAGTTAGCTCATTAAGAAGAACTGGCTGGCTGATATCTGTTCAATGTTTCTGCTGGAGTCGTTGGAAAAGACGGGAAAGAGGGTGAAAGGAGAAGGTGCAAATCAAAAAGTCAGCATCCTCAAAAATTTGAAGCAGAAGCTTTTATTCGAGTCACCACTAAATTCAGAGTGAGGAATCTAGCGATTCATTAGCTAGCTAATGTTGTTATGTGGAAAACCCCCAAAACAACATGCAGCTAACGACTGCTTATTCTTGGACTTGAAAGCAGAAAACTAATTATCCTGACTTACTCACATTAATGGCTGACATCAAATAAACATGTTGTGCATAAATAGCTTATCATATTTTGGAAAGTCAATACAAGAAAACAAAGCAAAAACATACAAACAAATAAACAAAAACCCTTCCAGATGCTTTGGCGTCCATGTGCACTTCTTCACCTCTTGATGTAGAAAAACCCAAAGCTTGATTGTCCAGTTGTTAAATCATAGACCCTAGAAAACTGTGGAAGCTGTGATTGAACAATTACTGTATGAATGAGGATTTTATCAAACTGACATTTTTACGTGCCCCAGCAGATCTATTAACGAAATCTTTCAGCGGTTCAGGAGGAAGATAATTATGTAACAAACATGCTGTGAACTGAACCCTCAGTCAGCTTTTAATACTTGAGTAATTGAACCTCAGAGCAAATTATCTGGGACTGGGACAGCACCAGAAGTGTTAAGTCGCACCTAAACAAGCTTTCAAAGTTTCACATGGGTAATGACACCAGAAGTCTTTAAAAAGTCATTATTTTTACATTAAGCTGTGATCACAGTCCAGGAACATCTTCACTATGTGGCGAGTTATACTTCATGAGTGTTATGAGCTCTTTTATATGAAAAATAAAGACAATACAACATTAAGTGTAGAAAACAAATTTTACCGCAATGAAGCATCAGATTACTTAAAAAAATGAAAAATAAATTAAAAGTAATATTGTTGATGTTTAGCCTGTCTTGGTTTAGTTGCACGTTGGGGTGGGTTGGTTTGGATTTCTAGTAATTGGTTCAACCACACAAGCAGGCAGCAGGATTTTGGAAATAATGAGCGTTTTCAGTGCAGAATCAGCACTCTTGGTCCACAGGATTTTGTTATCCTTCTTCTGTACAGTATGTGCTGCATTGACTCAGCGTACAGTACAGTAATCCAGACTGGCCACATTGTAATACACACAGGGGTTGAACCACATGGGAGTTGGCACAGTCCAACCATGACAAGCAGCGATGAGACACTGTGTAGTCATTTTCCCGCAGCTCTGTTTGCAATTCACCACAGAAATGGGCTGTATCTGTCACTTGAGGCTTGTATCCAAGTGGCTGCATGCAAAGAAAATTGACACGCAAACTTTCAGCACAGGCATTCCCATTGGGAATTGAACTTCTAACCTCCTAAATATTCATGCTTTCCTCTTCCCTCGTGGCACCAGAGGCACAGAAAGAGCAGTGAAGTCTCAATGCAGGTTAATAATGATGGATAACATTACAGAAAGGGTTATGAGACTCAAAATGTCAAATGTGCCGGAAGACATACAGCAAAATGACTACCACCATCTCCGCATGTACGTCTTTTTTTTCCTTGCTCCGTGTCAGAGATTTTCAGTGTGTGCATCACTTTGAAGTCTCCTAGGACAGTGCATCAGGGGTTGCTGTCAAAAGATGAGACTTGCTAAAATGCTTAGTTTAAAACACATCACTCCTCTCCCTTTTTCTCACCTTCTAGCCATTAGCTATCTATATCCTACATCTCCTTTCCTTCTCCTCTTTCTGTCCTCCTGTGATTACATGGGTACATTTCAAAATAAAAGTCACTGTTAAAAGCACAAGTTTTTCTCCTCATAATCTGCACATCTTGGTGAACGTGACACCATCATCCAAAGTATCCTTCCTCTCTGAGTTCAGCTACATGTATGTGCCAAGCTGTATCTCAAAGGTCAGCACTGTGTGCATGCTCATCATTTGTATCATCTTTGCCTCCACTTGTGTTGCTGTTCTGATGATATCAAGGCCTGCATCTCTTGTTGTGGCTTTCCAATCACCCACAGCCAGTCCCAGCAGATGGCTTCCCCTCCCCAGGTCTCTTCTTGCTGAAAGGGAGTTGTTCCTCCCTGCCAATGTGAAGTGCTTGCTCATGGGGCTGGTTGTCTGATCAGCTGGGTTCCCTCTCAAATATAAAGTGCCTTGCGATGACTGCTGTACAACTCGTTTCTGTATTATTGATGCTTTGTCTCCTCAGACCGTTGTACTTGTCACTGCCGACAGGAAGCATACAATAAACCTTTCTGTTTCAAGGTGTTCCCAATTGCAATGCAGACCTCAACTTTTTAACATAAAAACCCTGCTTCCCTCCTACTTTAGCACCTAGAACGGGCTAACTACCATGCTTCATGACAAAGAAAATATAAGGTAAAATAATGGTTGATGATGAGGTTGTGAACAGTGAAGCAGTGAGGCTTTGACAGCAGTTGGACTGGACAACAGATGTGAATTTCAAGCAGGTAAAAAAAGGCCTCTCTGCATCAGTAGACATATGGGCTGCCTTCAAGTGAAAATATGAAGCAAGCACTGGCCCAAGTGGAAATACTGTAATTACCAATTCATTGCACATGAACGAGCTGCGGACTGTGATAGCTGAGTTGCAGAAACGTGAAGAAGCTGGACAGCGGTGAAGCTGAGCTCAGCCAACAGCTGGAGTAAAACTGATGATACTGCTCATATATATTGTCTCGCCTGCTATTTCAACCCAACATACTTAAACTACTTAGACTATGGATTTACATTTTCCAGAAAAAGAAGTAAGGTTTCACAAAGAGAGGCACTTGTTGGCAGGAGTTTTTTCTCCACAAACTCGCAGCTTTATCACATCCTCTTGGGTGCTGCAGGGTGTGAGTGTGTCAGTAAGAGAGCAAGCCTTGGTAATTACAGGTATTCCCATTATCACAGAGGCTACGAGACTGTGTTTGACACTATGCAAACAGACATAGACAAAGTTCTCGGGCCAGTGCTGCAGGACGTGGGGAAGGGAGCTTAAAGTGAACAGATTAATGGGCATCACAGCGGGAGTCGACCTGCTGGAGTGCGATTGTGGAACTTGGAATAGCAGTATGATTGGATCAGAGGTGGCCAGAGGACTGGACTGAAAGATTGAGAACTCATCAGGCAAAGGTTAATTTAATACTATGGGGCATGATTAGTTTCAAGTTTAAACACTCCTACTCATGTACCGTGCTGCTCTCTACAACATCATTTTCCCGGGAGAGAACATTTTCAGAGGGCAGGAGGTGGATTAGCAGTCGCAGATACATTCTTGAGGTTCCAGTCTTGGATTGGTAAACAGCTCTGCTGCTGGAGTGTCCTCCAGCAAGACACTGAAGGTCACCTGGCTTCAGAGCCACTGTTGCTATGCTGACTCTGACCTGTGACCTCCCCCATGAAGGGAGGAGGGCAAGAGGATTTCCCTTTAGGGGAGATAAACATTCATATCAGTATTGCTGTGCTCGGCTGATAACATGACCTGTGAAGTGAGCATTTTACTTTCTAATATTAAAGCTTTGATTACAGCTCTTAGTGTGTCAGTTAACCACACTAATGCCCACGTGCTGCAGTTTGAACATTTAGATTACATTACTACGTTGCACTTTTTCTTTAACGTGATGGTGCAGAAGTATTGCTCAAAAGGGAGCAGCATTAACCTGAATAGGGGAAAAACAGTGACACACACAGTGTAGATGGTACATTAATTATTGCCAGAATCTTTCCAACCTGCTATTAACTGAGTTTAAGTAGTGCGCTTAAAGAAAACCAAACAGGCTTTTGCTTCTCATACGACTGCTTATTATGTCTAAAATTAATAAGCTGATGTGATAATCTAAAGAGGCCATGATTGGCCAGGTCACAGTGCAGGATGAAAACCAAACCAAATATTTGTCAGTTTAAATCATTTTAAAGATATAATGAAGGGAGAAGCAAAACTACAGACCACCACAGCCCCACCTGTGTGAACTGAATGAAACTTTTGTCCATCTCAAATCACCACATGCACTCTGCCTGATCATCAAGAATACTCCTGCAAAGGCTCGGGTTTGAGTCCAACCCGTCACCCTTTGCTGTGTGTCTCCCCGCTTCTCCTTGCTTTCCTGTCTCTCCTGACTTTCACTATCCAATAAAGCCAAAAAATATTATTAAACACAAAAATTAAAATTTCAGCAGATTGTCCTCTTCGAATAAAATGAAATTCCAGATGGTACCCAAAAATATAACTCTGAAAATAATTTTGTTAAATATTTTCATATTTTTCATTTCCAGGACCTGTGAGTTACAGTTACAGTACCATCGTGAAAATCCAGCTTTCTTTTTGTATTACTGTAAAATTCAACAACACACCATTCAGAAATTGTTACTGGTTGTCTTTTGCAATGTAAAGTTTCTTTGTCAGTGTGTGATTTTTTTTTTTAAATTAAAAATTTTCAGACCATTTGAAACATATCTGGTCCACATTAAAGATCCTGATTTATTTTGATGTTAAGAAAGACCGGTGCAAACTTCAGGCTTTTATCTTTAATAGTCTTTGACATATTCACGTTCAAATGTTGACTCATATTTCAGTGCGTGGTAGTGGGCCGATGGACTATTTTTCAAAAAAGTGTATCTTAAAAACTATTTGATATATGAAGCTAAAACTTCTCAGCACTCAATATATATGTTCAAACTTTGGACCTTCAGATTGGAGTTGGCACGATGTGCGGTTGGAATGACCCATGGACTAAATGATTTGCTCAGTTAAAACACAGGTGCTGAATTTGCAACAGCAGTCAGTAGCATTTAGTGCTCATCTACTAAACATTGAACCCCATCGGACCTAAACTTTGCAGTTACGTCTCCAACATGAACTCAGGTAGTAGCACATTATTTAGCTTGACTACTGTTGCTTAGAGGAGATGATGAAGCTGTAGCTATAACTGAAGTAGCTAAATCCATATACAAATTAAATATTATGATTCATGACTCTGCAGCACTCATGCACATGAGTATTAACAGGTGAGTTAAGAGTCAGGCTGGATTTGTCTGGTCTAATCCTGCCTACCTTATCCCATCTTGCTTTCAAAGACCACTTCGAGAGCCTTTCACGGGCTCATTTATTTACAGAAAAGATGACCACCATGCTGCAGGCTGTTTGAAATACTTTGCTGTCTTAGATGCGCTGGGAAAGTCTGTCTGAACTTCTTGTGATCTCCACTAAGATTTGAAGTAACTTTCTAGCTTCTTCACTTTGCAGAGTGAAAAAGGGCAAATGCTTTGAAATGAGGCGAGTTATACGAGATCACCCACTGAAAAAGAAAAAACACAGAAAAGCAGTGTGGTGTTTTATAGCACTCTAAATTTCAGGTATACTCAATAGATATCTGTGGTTGTCCTGGTCCCGCCCCTAAAGATCTAATCAGTAGCTGTAACTGTAACAGATTAACAAATCAAGTATTCGCACTGATGCGTGTGCATACTTCAGGTCCTGACTGTTTCAGGTGTGTGACGTCAGGCGTATTGCTCTACTTGTTATCTCAGTAAGTATAAAAACCAAAAATCTATGTTGGATAACTGTGATCATTTGTTCTCTGTGCTCTGGTGGGATATACTTGAAATTAGAGATGGACCGATCCGATATTACGTATCGGTCCGATACTGACCTAAATTACTGGATCGGATATCGGAGAAAAATAAAAAATGTAATCCAATCCATTAAATATCACGAAAGCACCTCACAAAACTTGCAACACGCCGTAACTCGCCTCAGAACGTTAGCACGTCGGAGCAGTATGCATCACGTGATAGAGCGGCTGTGGCATGCGGGACCTGTGGTGGTCTGGATAGCATTTGGAGCTTCGCTAGCAACCCGGCATTTCATCTCCGACAAAGTTATCCCGAGAGAAGTAAAGAAGTGTGTAAGTCCATCTCTGAATGTTTGTAAAGCATTCCTGCGTTAAGCTTAACAAGCGACTGCCTCTTCTTGCTGCTACTTCAATCATGAAACTGCTTAATGATCAGCTGATCGGCTTTTCTGTCGTGAGTCCGTGTCTCTAGTTTGCTTTTGGCCCACTTTGCACCAGAAAGAGGAAACCAGTGACTGAACAACAGAAGCACGTTTAAGCTTGATCAGCTGTTGTTAGAATGTATTTAATATTACTTTCTACACCAGAATCTATTTAATATTTCTTGAAAAATAATTGATTTCTGTGCATTTTTTTCACACTGCATCAAATTAAGGTTGATTATGTCGATTAAGCATCATGAGGTGGAGCGTGAGGGGTGGTTCCCTATTTTTTATTTATTTATTTTTGTTGTTGCTGGGAGTTGGAACCCTATTAGTTAGGTTGCTTAATATTTATGCTAAGTACTCTTTAAAATACCAGAATAGGGAGGATGGTGTAGGTTTAAGTTTATTAGATTGATCAGTATTGCTGAACTATGAAATAATTTTTTTTGCATACAGGTATAACAGAATAGCTTTAGTGTAGTTGTTGTTTTAAACTTGAGTATGAACTTATACAAAATGCAGCAAGATATTTAAAAAACAGTTTTGTTGATTAAAAAACACTATATCGGATTCATATCGGTATCGGCAGATATCCAAATTTATGATATCGGTATCGGTATCGGACATAAAAAAGTGGTATCGTGCCATCTCTACTTGAAATATGAAGCCATATTAATGTATACAAATACAACATACAGGGAAAAAAGATTTTAAGCAAAGTCAGCAAACTTTACCTGAATTAAGCTAAAACATTTTCCCCCTGTACTGTGCACATGCGCTGCAACGTGATTGGCTAATATGTCTCCGGTTTCAGTTGTTGATTGGTTCTTTTGGGACAGGTTTAAGACTCACAGACTTGAGGACTGTTTCAGTGCAACACGCAGGGGTGTAGCAAGTCAAGTCTCTACCTCATTTTACACCTTTTGCATTGACCCACTGGAGAAAGCAACAAGACCGCCATCATTCCCGCCTCCCGACTGAACAACGGAGATTAATTAAATAACATTTTTTGCTTTCAACTTCATCTTTTATAGATTTTGATGATAAACTGTTTTATGTGTAATTAATAGATGTTAGACATAATTCTCTTAACTCACATCGACTGTGTGTGTGTGTGCACATGTGTGAGACAATGTAAATTCTCTGATGGTTACCATAGCGATCCAGCAGGTCGTTCTAATGATATTTGATGCCCCGCAGACAATCAGGCTTTTCCCAATAGACTCCAATGTAATTGGTCCCAATAGGGGAGAAAATGAATTCAATTTAACTTTATTATTAGAATTCATAATTTTTTTTTTTAGAAAAGTTGAGAAGAAAGCTGTCAGAAAACCCTCAATGAGTCATAAATCACGAGAGACCAAATTAGATCCTGACAGTGTGAGGAGAGCAGCTGGAGTCGAGCCTATTCAGAAATTAATTAACAATAGAAACCTGTAAACTTGAGAGAATGTAATTGATACTGTCTTGCAGTAGATGTACTTAGAATTTACTTGCCCCCCACCCTCAGGACACTGATTTCAGGATCATTTTGAGTATGTTACTGAATTAGTGCTTCTCTAGAAAGTAGTTTACTTACTTCATTTCAGTTTCCTTAATATGCCCTGCAAGTTCTTCAACAAATTTTTCTCCTTTCATCCAGTAGATGATGGGCTTTCTGTTTTCTCCACTGTAGCCAAAAAATGCCTTGCAGTCCAGACTGAGAGGCATACCTGCAACACACAGCACAGCAATGTTAGACGCCACACGGTGCCACACGGAGGATGAATTTGCACTGTTTTGCAGCTGAATCTTTAAACCAGCTGCAGTCCAGGCTGAAGGTAAAACACACATTAAAGATGACACCACACTGAAAGTTGAGCACAGAAGGAGTCATTAAACAAATCTGGCACATTTTGGTTTATATCCTTTCTCATTTCTCCAAAGAGGTGTCCGGATGATAGGGAGCCACAGGGAGCCAGTGCAGAAAACTACTCGAGGTGTGTAGCTGGGTGCCTGCAGGGTCCCTTTGAAATGAGAACCTGAAATAATTGCTGCCTCCTCCTGGTGACAGTAATATCACTTTAAAGAGAAGTGTGCAAACACATTTCTGAAATCATGAGAGGAAACAAAATCACACTAGGTAAAATACTGCTGTGCATCATAAGCTGCAGCACTGCCAACCTTTCACCTGAGCAAATGAGTCTGTGGCAACAGGTGGCATACACAGGAAATGTAGTGTTAGTGAGGCAAACACGTGTCAGCACCAGTGGATTTCTTTTTATCTTACATGGTAAATATATGATTTTCCTAAGGATCTACAAATCTACTTCATAAGATCCTCCTGTACGGTCCCCTTGATTTTGCTAGCCCCAAAATATGAATGCAGGGTCCAAGACCTGGACTTTCAAGTGCTTGTTTCCTGAAGTCAAAGGAAAAGCTGTGTGCTTAGTTTGTGGAGAGCAGATTGGTATGTTTAAGGGTTAAAATTTGAATCATCATTATGAAACTAAACAGAGAGAGAAATACGAGAAACTGACTGATGCAAAGTGGGATTGGACATCAGAACCTTTGCTAGCAAAGCTGCAAAAGCAATGAGGACTGTTTTCAAGCTTTACAAATTCAGGGATGATTTTCCTCCAAATCACAAAAACTGTGAAATTTTCTGTGATAGTGAGTAAGAAAGAATGTTGATGGACTCCTAATATGACCTGAGAAAAAAGAAGAATGTGCTTGAACTGTAAAACAGTCACTTTTCAAATGAATCTGGAGCTTTTGTTGAAAAGCAAAGTGAACAGTTTTCTTTTTCTCAGCAGCTCTGGAGGAGAGCGATGTGACACAGACCACTACCTGGCAGCTCTGTACTCAATGAAAGGGGCTGTTACAAGAAGTTATTTGTTTATAGAGCTAACTGCATGCTTGGACAAGTTTTCTGACAAACTTGAACAGTTCACTGGATTTCAAGTGACTCAATTTGACTCTCAGACACAATTGTGTTTGTTTATGTAATTACTCTAAAAAACAACAACTATTGTTTATATTCACATTCACATTATGTGGCAGCACACCTCTTAACCGGCACTAGAAGGCATGAGCACATCACCCCTGTCCTCGCTAACTTATCCCATCAAATATCGCATTGATTAATCGCATTGATAACTTCATCATTTCAGGTTTATAGCGCCATGATATTAAAGTTTAAATTAGCCGCACATTTACTGACAGAACAGAAAATGTTTCGAGTCGATTCATATTCACTAATATGCCGCTTGTGGCAGATGGCCCCCCCTCCCTGAGCCTCTGGTTTTCCTGTTAAAAGCGTGTTTTTCCTTCCCACTTTCACAGAGGGCTTGCTCAGAGGAGGCTGTCTGATTGTTGGGGTTTTCTCTGTATTGTATGATTTTTACATTCCAGTGTAAAGTGCCTTGAGGTGACGGTGATTTGGAGCTATATAAATAAAACCGAATTGTGACTGAAGTGCAAATTTTCAGCTTTAATTCAAGGGGTTTAACAAAAGTATTTCATTAAATTCAGTTGCATAGTGTACTTGCAGCTTAATTAGTTTGAGCCATGAAGCTTTGATTCTGCAGAGCTCCATATTCAACAGATGTGTACCTTTAATGTATTACTGCTGGAAGAATCAATCAGCAATACTATGAAATCACATGTAAATACACATCTATGGGCAGACAGTATCCACACACACTCATGTAAGACCTTGAAACCCCCATCACTCTATGATTACAGCTATCAGTGGTGATGATGGAGTATTAATGAGCATTCTAATGAGCGCTACCTCGTTAGGCAGTCAATTAGCAGATAATTATGATAGACCTTGGTATTATCATAATGATAGCTCTGTCAGCACAGTCATGAACCAACAGTGAATGTTAACATTCGGTGTATGTCTGTGTGTTTGTTGTCAGTTTTGACTTAAAGTTAACACTTAAGGTGTTGTTTTTTCATGCGTGGGAAAAGCAGCTTCTTCCTTTCAAGCTTTGGGGGGTAATTATCTTTTTCAGAAGAAATTCAAAACATTTAGAGCAGCAAAAGTAAAAATCTTCACAAACTGGTTACAGGTTGAATAAACATGAGGTTTCCTTCAGTTGGTCAATGCCAAAACGCAACTGTTTTCATATGGAAATGTCTTTATGTTTGGTGTCACTGCGCTGCTTATTTTGATTGATGGAAAAGGACGAGGAGGCTTTGACTTCTGCCAGTCTCGAAATTAGAATTTCTAACAAACTCAGAGAAAAAGTGCCCACTGAAGCCTCACATGTCTTGTGTGTGTGTGTGTGTTGGTGGGCTTGCGTGGGATTTTTCTTTTTTTTTTTACCTTTGAGCCTAGTCAGACATCATCCTGCAGTACAGGCGTATAAATACACACACACTTTAGAAATCAGTTAAAAAAGAAAAAAAAATCTGGCTTGGAGTGAAATTAGTTTAGCTTGATTGTGTGTGTGTGTGTGTGTGTGTGTGTGTGTGTGTGTGTGTGTGTGTGTGTGT